TGCGATTATCTGTGCATTACTTCCTTCCAAGTTCTGATCATTGTTATAATTCAAATTTTAAATAGAATTTTATTTTTATTTTTACTTTTAGTCTTATTTTGCACCAGGAAAAAGTACCAAGAAATTGCAACAAGCATGCAGAAGCTACTCTGCAACACCACCTACTACAATAGGCCGGTGCAATTTTGTCAAAAGTGGCTACTAAATTCCACAAAGATGACTAACTCCCAACTACACTTTGCTTTTCATTTATTGCCTTTCGTTAGAATTTGCCTATAAATAGCCATGTGATTACCATTGTACGTATAAGTTTTAATCCAAGATTTCAGTTTATATTTCTCTTTTTTTGAGTGAGTTTTTTGGGAGTGGATTCTCTCAATTTATCTCTGTATCTTAGGTCTTACCAACCTAAGTGGTGAACTTGGCAATCGAATTCATCGTAGTGGGATTTTAAATCTCGCCAAAATCGGTGTTTCGGTATCGGCTCCTACGTCATATTTTTATTTTAACTAATATGTTTTGTTTTTGTTTTCCTTGTTAGGTTTACGAACAAAAGAGGATTGGAAAAGGGAGATGAAGGAATTTAATTACAAACAGATATGGTAAAGCTTAATTAGATACAAGAGGGTTACAAAATAATGGAGCCAAATTCTAGTTTTGGTAAAATATACAGGTTTGCATTATTAATCTGGAGTAGTATAGAACCAATGTCAGCTATACACTTGACACACCTCTTAAGCTAGCTAGTCTGAAATGAGGTGATGATATACACATGGGTGAGCTTGGCTTTAAGCTATAACCGAGCCATATATAGTTATTAGTCAATTTTACTACATGCTGCAAACAAGGTTGTAGAAAGCACCCGGCGGTGGTGGGTGTTGGGCCGCTGCCTAGCGCCTAGACGATGCTTAGGTGCCATCAAAGTGCTGTTAAGCGCTCTAGGCTTTCTTATTTTTTCTGCAAAAAATACCAAAATAGAATGGAAAATCCAAAAATATAGAAGAAAAGCCAAACTCTACTGCCTAGGGCCAAGGCAAGCCGGTAGAGCATTGCCTGGCACTTGCCTAAGCAAGCTTTTGGCAATACTGGCTGAAAACAATCTACTGAATTTAGAAGAGCAATAGAAACACTCATGAAAAATTTCATTTATGCATAATTTAGATAATTAGCAATGTACAGACTAAGTGATGACAGGTAGCATAAGCATTTCATACAAAAATTATGCATAAACAGAAGTTAAACATGACATGGTGAACATCAACAAAATAGTTTATCATGCATTTCATAATTAGGTATAGCATGCAGGATTAGTCTTAATATAAATGAGACTTTAATAAAAAGAGTGCACACATAAACACCAAAAACAATCAATAAGTATAAACTAAATGGCTATGGAGTCCACTGTCCACTAGTGTGCATGTACTCACACTCTAGGAATGAAGCTAGTCTCAATACATCCCCACTGCATAGAGGTCCGCTATTCTCTTTAGAGATCTAGAACATTGTTAAACCAAAACATAACCCTCGCCTACAGATGTACAAGATCATGCATAACATGATCTGTTTATAACATAAATCATCATTAGAAGCATATACATATACATATCCATGCTTTTCACTCAGCTTACATTCAATTTCTCTTAAGTTAGTCTTTGGCTGATGACTATAAAAGAAGTGGTGTGGGAGCTACTTTAGTGATAGTAGTATGGTTTTCCTATCATGTTAGCATATGACTTGATTGTGTGTATACAGAATATGTTGTTGATGTTTGGCTATGGTGCTGGTTTGAGTGGAATCTCCGTACCCTGCCTTGGAGTTTCAAATGTTGCCCCATTTCTTCTATACATATATATGGTTTTCAAGTCTTTTTGTTTGTCCATCTCATTTCAAGGATGTGGATCGGCACTATTGTGCAGTAATCCCTCCATAATTATTCTCCTATATGTCCATTCTGCTTTAAAATTACAAGCCGACTGAAGGATGAGGTAGTGACGTACAGGCTTAAACGAAGCTCCCATGAGCTGATAAAATAAATAAATAAAATAAAAAGGAAGTGCCTATGTCTAGGTGATGAGCCCTTGAGCTTGCTGCTGATTTTCCGCCTTCCCTCTTACTCTCCTGGCCTAGGGTTGCAGCTAACTTTTTCTCCAGAAACTGCTTACGGGTGCAGTTTTCTTGTATGTTATTTTGAGTATTTTCTATAGGTCCTACTGTTTAGGATCTGTTTATTAATTTGTGTTATAATAATTGATGAGTTTATTTCTCTGTAATTTTATTTGTGGGAAAAAAAAATTATTTCAAATTAATGATTGAATGTATATTGTTCTGAATGATTGATGTTTACTTGAATTATATTCCTAAAAAATACTCATGTCTTCTGTTTTAATTGTAAATGCAGTTTCAACTCAAAGAATACAAGGCCTTTTGTGAGGAGCTGTTCAAAGCCTTTAGGGAAAGGAAAAAACAAGAGCACAAGGAAGAAATAAAGAAGCTTGAGGAAGATTTAATGGTGCGAATGTCTGTACTTCCTTCCAAGTTCTTGTTATTCTTGATTTTGATGGATCTAAACCTAAATGTGAATGGGAATATATGCTCGGCCTATTTTCTGCACTTTAAATTATTTCTTTGCAATTGCTTGTGACTGTTCATCATTTTGTGCTTGAAAATTGCATAAAATTTTTGAAAATCCAATTCACCCCTCTTGAGTTGTCACCATCTGGGCCAACAATTCATATGAGAACCTTGACTCAAAGTTTTGATTTTAAAATTGTAAGTCATTTTATTGACTTTCGTTCATGGCAACACCCATGTTGTTGTTCATTGAGTGACAATCTACCATTCATCCTCTTCTCTTTAATGGAATAAGTTATTCCTATTGGAAGAATAGGATGAGGGTTTTTATGCAAGACATAGATTATGCCATGTGGGAAGTGGTCCATGATAGCCCTTTTGTTCCTTTAAAGAGAGAGCAAGGAATCGGTAGAGAGGGTTCCAAAAATACCTGATAAATTTGATAGATCCGATAAGGAAAGGGTGTAATTGAATGCAAAAACCATAATTGCATTATACTATGAATTAGATTCCTCTGAATTTGATGGTATAAGTGCATGTATAAGTGCATGTGTGAGTGCAAATGGGATAAGTTGGAAGCCACTTATGAAGGCACTAATGAAGTGAGGAAGAGTAAAATGAATAGGCTTGTGCAACAATATGAACTTAAGAAGAATGATCTGCAAAAGATTGTCAATTCCTTGAGAAATGACAATACTAGTTTAAAAAGAGTTTTAGACACTCAAAATGAGTCTTTTGAAAAGGAAAGAAATGTCTTGATTTCAAAATGCAATGAGTTTGAAAAAAAAAAAAACACAGATTTAAACAACACGATTTCAAAACTCATTGAGGGGAGTGGTAAACTTTAAAATATTTTGGATACTCAAAGAGATACTAGCATCAAAATTGGTCTTGAGGGATGTGGTAGATCTAAGACATATCCCACCAATTTGTGAAGATTAGTTGTTACCCATCCACTAGCTTTCAAAATCAAGATAAAAGATCAAGCACTCAAAAGAGACTTACTATAACATGCCATTATTGTTGTAGGAAAGGCCATCATGTTTTTAAATGCCTTATAAAAAGAGGTGCATCAAATGGATCTAGGTGGATATGGGTTTCAAAAGAACTAATAGCCATACATAC